AAGTACAAAATGGAACCGATCAGGAGACGGGAAGATACAAGCTTTGGGCTCTTTCCCGTAAACACAATTAGGTAATCACAATTAGGTAATTATATATACACACACACACACACACACACACACACACACACACACACACACACACACACACACAGATCAGAAAAATATTTTCAGTAATGTACATCTATCGTACATATCGAATAAAGATCATTAATATATCATATTTGCATTACGGAAATACAGATTTATATATTTTTCTTATGAAATATTTCCACAATGCATGATTATCTGCTTTTTGTATCTGTTATTTTGATAACAGTGACCTTGGGTGGCGCTGATATATTTTTATATATCGCGATACGGAATAGATTCACGCACATTTTGTATCTGTATTATATTATATGATGTAGTAATTAACTGTGTATGTATGTGAGCATGTATGTACGCTTGTATACATACTTCAGAGAGCTTGCTGTCTTATACCTAATGACCGAATATTTGATATGAATACAAGTTTTTTGTGTATTTTATTTTATTTTTTTTTATCTGCAAGCAAGAAAGCAAGTTGTAGAATTTGCGGTGAAATCATTTTCCTAAGGCTCGAGAGAGATATTGTACACCAATGTTCAACATAGCTTGTTGCCGTGTACTGTTGGAGGCAACTTTACTGTACAATATTTTTGTACGTTTATGCGTATGGAAGGTTGTACAATGATCTCAGTTTTAATGTATTGCTTGATACATTAATTTCTATCAGTTTTACGTCACGGACTCCCTTTTCTCACTAAGGGTTAGGATAGTTCCTTCTTTCGAAGGACCTTCGTTTTTGGCTAGTGCGACTGTTACCCCGAATAAATGCCCATTCTGACCTCAGACCCACGATATTTGGAACCAAAGTCGCAAGCGTTACCACTCAGCCACGGTGACCTGGTTGGTACATTGTTACGTTTTTCATGAAAAATAATGTACTTTTGTACTTGTCATTGGTTCGTATTCAACATATGGCACCTGTTTGACACTCATATGAATTTTTTCTTTAAAATGTGACACCGGGACAGGCAAAGACACTTGCCATAATCGGGCCCGGACAGCAAGAAAACATAATACAAAGAGAAACAGACCGAGGGTGCTTTGACTTGTCAGATGTGAAGGGACAATAAGAAAACAAAAGCAAAACATAAACATAAAGCAACGAGAAACCGAGACGGGGAGTGCTGTGACTTGTCAGATGTGAAGGGACAATAAGAAAACAAAAGCAAATCATAAACATAAAGCAACGAGAAACCGAGACGGGGAGTGCTGTGACTTGTCAGATGTGAAGGGATAATAAGAGATATGTATTGAATACTCCAGAATATTTGGTGTCGATAAAGGCTCAGGAGGAGAGCTGTAACTGAAGGAAGACTTAATATCGAGCTCGCCTGGCCACTCCTATTTAATAATAATTGATTATTATGTATTATATTTACTAATGAAAAATTTTGAACCTTTTGAAAAAATTTATCTCATCATGTACCCTGTGACGCCTTTCTGGAACTTAATCTTATATTCTTTTACCTCCAGACTCTGGAACTCTCTTCCCTCCTTCTGTCTTTCCTGTTTCTTATGACCTATATTCTTTCAAAAAGCGGATCTATCGTCACCTTTGGGTTAATCCTGCCATGTCTCTAGTTCTTCATTACTTTGACTGGTCATTCAGTCTGTTCTTTTCCTACTATGTCATTCTCTTTTTTTTGCCTTGTCTTTAAGCTTCTACTTTTTATTTGTCTCAGTCTTTTCTTGGTGCCCGGGCCCGATGAGGATAATTCTCTTGCCTGTCCCGGTGTCACACATAAAAAAAGAATTGAGTGGAGTCTTGAAAAATTCGATGTGAATATTATGTGTAGTGAATGAGATGACACTATTCACTTGATTGGATTCGGTTTTACGTCACGAACTCCTTTTTCTACCAAGGGATAGGACGGTTGCCTACTTACGAAGGACTTGTTTTGGCAGATGTAATCGTTACCCTGAGTGTATGCCCTTACTAACCTCAGTCCATGACGGGGCGCGAACCCTCGACCTGCCGCCTCAGAGTCGCAGACGCTACCATTTTGCCACGGAGAGTACTAGATGGCACTATTCAATTCGATGTGAATATTATGTGTATTGAAAGAGTTGGCACTATTCCACTTGGTTTTACACGACTTTTATGGCACCAATGCTGCCGAAAACATGACCATAAGAATCTCAGGTCATATTTACCATAGTATATAAAATGATATTATAGAGTTTGCGGCTTGTATTTGGCGTATAGAAGTTGCTGACTCAGCAGGCACAGTGAAAGGGTATTTATTCAAGGAATTATCATCCTGTTGTGAATATAAAATTAATCTTCGAGTTGAAGGGTAAATAATCATTCTTGATGTACGAACATGCACTGCTATTTGCTGAAGTTTCTGGAAGGGGTTATGTGTATGTATATATATATATATATGTGTGTGTGTGTATGTGTGTGTGTGTGTGTGTGTGTGTGTGTGTGCGCACACTAATATACGCTCGCGCACGCACATGCATATGTAGTATGCAATATTTACACATTCGCACACATACATGCATAGATACACACACACACACACACACACACACACACACACACACACACACACACACACACACACACACACACACATATATATATATATATATATATATATATATATATATATATATATATATATATATATATATATATATATTCAGTCACCATGGCTCAAGCGGTAGCGTCCGCAACTTTGAGGCGTCAGGTCGAGGGTTAGCGCCCCACCACGGTCCGAGGTTAGCAAGGGCATGCACTCCGGGCAACGATTACATCTGCTAAAACAAGTCCTTCGCAAGAAGGCGACCGTCCTAGCCCTTGGTTGAAAAAGGAGTTTGTGACGTAAAACACGCCAATAAATATGCATTCGTTCCAGAGTCGAATGATCAACATATGCATTTTAAACTTCTTATAATAAGCAGCTTAATGCTATGGACTTCATCCATATGATTGCTTCGGTAATATCGCAGTATTAAATAAGTATCAATAACATGGGTAAAATAAATGCCAAGAAGGTTACTGAAGAGCGGATGCATAATTTTTGACGCCAATTCGAGTTTTGCGTAGAAGTTTTTGTTTTGTTTTTAGTATTTGCGTAAAACGCTGTCTTTGTTACCCCCTTTAATTCTTTATATTTCGAGTGCCATATGCTTGTAGTACTCGTATGATTTGAGTTATTGGCACTTCGTGGCTCTAAGAAAGGTGGCAGAGAGCCAACTACCTGTATTACCTAGAATTAACATTCGCTGTGCGGATCGGCGCTTTTCAAAGTGTATGTTAAAAGCTATAATTAATGCATACGCTTTTGACATCGTAAACAACACGTAGAAAAAATATATTTCTACTCATAGTTCAGAGATCTTTCAGTGTAGTTTTTATACGCAGCTAATATCTGTAAGTTCTGTTGTTTACATGCCAATACTTATTTAAAAGGCAAAAGTCATTGGTTTAGGTCAGGGGAATACCCAATTGTAAGTCCCAGATTCTATACCCCTGCATCAAGAACACATATAAGCAGTGAAGCAATATTATTATTTTTTAAAGGACACTTATCTGTATATTTTCACAGAAGTATTTTTGGTAAATTGGTCATAATTGTCTCATGGTTTGTTCCAGCTTAAAAAACCATCCTAACAGTGTTGCCAAAACCAGAGGAGTAACTGGGTTCGTAGTTTTCCTAGTTTCAGACCAGTTTTGCCAGTTGAAGAGATCTTTCCTTGGAACTTATTTATGTGTTGCAGTTTGTGTTGTACTTCTTTAATGGGTTGATTTTAGTGTTTCTTCTGTTTTCTAATAAAAATATTCATTAGAAACTTATCATATTACAAGAGGTAAAAGAGAGACGGATTATGTGTGACTGAACAGACTCGCGAAAAGTTTCGGCCGTTCTGTATGTTCGGATTCATCCGTTTCACATTCCTTACACTGTCTCTAAATCCAAAATGTGTTTGATATCGAGCTTTTTTTATTTGGCAGGAACTGAGTGGAGTGCTTTTATATTTGAAAAAAAAAATCAGTAGAATACATATAATTAATGAAATTTACCGAACTTGGTATCTGCTTAGAATTCCATCAATAAATGGTATCAATGCACCTATAACTAAATAGATCTTATGTAGCTAGTAATCATGGAATATTTTTGTTTACTACATTTTATCTGCATCTGTTTCTTCCCATGCATTTGAGTAGAAGTGTGAGCGAGAGTTAGAGAGCCGAGAGGGAGAGTATAAGAGCGAGGGAGAGAGAGTGTGTGTGTGTGTGTGTGTGTGTGTGTGTGTGTGTAAATTGGGAAATAAAAATGTGAAGTGAGAGTGAAAGTGCCCAGGTCAACGACCTGTGTGTGTGTGGGTTCTTCTAACACGGCACACTGACCTACTGCTAAAATAATTCCCTTACTTTACCCCCCAACAGTCCCCCATATGTCTCATTTTACCCGCTAAACTTTTGGCTGTATGGTGGGTCTCCCTTTGGCTGGGCTGCATTATGCCATGCTCACTTTTGATATTGCGTAATTAATGCTGTCCTTGTGCGCGGACAAGGAAGGAATGATGTTATTGCTCATTATGTGACTACTACTACTACTACTACTACTACTACTACTACTACTACTACTACTTTTTAAATTAAAGGAACAACCTCTTCTACCAGAAGTTTACTACTACTACTACTATTACTACTACTACTACTACTGCTACTTTAAAAATTTATTATTATTATTATTATTATTATTATTATTATTATTATTATTATTATTATTATTATTATTATTAGCCATAGTTTACTATAGGAGTTTGGCATTAAGACAAGTCAAATAAATATGAAGTGAAGGGTCTTTCTACCACTGTGACCTTTAAGAACATCGTCTCGTGTGATATACTACAGAAATTATTCATAATCGTTGTTAAAAAAAACAAACAGAATGGCCACCGTGGCACAGTGGTAACGCTCGCGACTTTGATTCGTGGGGTCGTGGGTTCGAGGCCCGCCACGGTCTGGTAACGGTCGCACTTAAAACCAAAGTCCTCAGCAAGAAGGCACCGTCCTAGCCCTGAATTGAAAAGGGAGTCCATTACGTAAAACTGATCACAGTTGTTAAAAATCTAGGCAATGGTTAGCTAATAATGAATTAATTTTCTTGTACTGCCCATTCAGTAAATCAAATGAAGATAATTATTTGTATGTGAGATATTCATATTCGATTTTACGAAGTTCATGTGACCCAAGTCCAGTTACGCAGTTTTTGCTCAAAAGTAAAACTATAAATGCTTGTGTTTCTGGAAAGTAAGTCTTTGTCTGTCTGGCTGTGTATGTGCGTATGTGTGCGCGTCTCTCTCTCTCTCTCTCTCTCTCTCTCTCTCTCTCTCTCTCTCTCTCTCTCTCTCTCTCTCTCTCTCTCTCTCTCTCTCTCTCTCTCTCTCTCTCTCTCTCTCTCTCTCTCAAGAGAAACGCTATTTAGACCCGGAGACGATTATTTAGGTTTCTAGTATTCGATCAGAGAATTATACCCAGTCTTAATTTGAGTATTTTTTTTTTTAAATTTGAATTAAAAGGTATCTATTTTTTGTTGCTTACATAGTTGGTGCGCAACATGTAAGTGTAGGTACTGACAAAGAGACATTGACCTGTACCGCGTTTATTGTAAGTAAATGTAATTTCTCTGGGATCTTGTAAATATGAAGAATTCCTAAAACCTCATGTGAAGTTAGGTAACCCCTTAATATTTTGTTCAAGTTAGGTTAAGTTAAGTTCGGCGACTCCCCTTTTAAATATGAATAAACTTAGAGAGCATCTGAAGTTACAAGATACTCTTAAAATATATATATATATATATTTTTTTTAAATGTTAAGTTTTTTTTCTCATTAGTTTCGTTATACTTCTGTTTTGAACACGGCAAAACTTGCAACGTGTTTATATTTGCAGAGGCCATATAGTAATCATTGAATATTGATCATTGTTTTTCCTACAGTATATTAATGTTTTTTTTATCACTGTGCATAATTCTTTTTACCAACAAGAAAGAATGATAAATTTTTTAAAGTATTTTAAGGTTACTTATTCCATAAATTTTCGGGTGATTTTTTCCTTCGAAGCTCACTGTATTCATTGCTACACGACATATTTCTATAATTTTTTTCACTGCTTTCTTGAGACGTTACAATTTAACTATATTTTGCTGTAACGACCCTTAAAATAGTTTAAATAAAAAAAAAACAAAAAAACTCAAGTTTCTAAGTTTTACCTTGTTGAAAAATGAATAAAAACACTAGTTGTTTTGTTTATGATGAGCCTTTAGTTATTCATTAGTCTACGGTAATTGCATTTGTCTATATAACAGCTCTTCTGCGATGTCATAATTCCCCAGCTCCAACCTATCCGCGTCCACCCCCAATCGAAGGAGGGATTAATTGTAACATAAAACGGCAAATCATTCTCTAATGCTTCATGCACTGTTTGTTTAAGCTGTGGCCTCTTTTTTTTAATATAATATTTCAGTGGCTTTTTTTTTTTAATATTAAAATTTGCTTACATCGGGAGAACGAGCGTCTTATTATTACTGTGAAGAAAATTCACCTTTGTTTTGTCTTTAACAAAAATATATGTGTGTGTATATATATATATATATATATATATATATATATATATATATATATATATATATATATGATGTATATGTATATGTGTATGTATATGTATATATATATATATATATATATATATATATATATATATATATATATATATGTATGTATATATGTATATATGTATATATGAATATATATATATATATATATATATATATATATATATATATATATATATATATATATATATATATATATATATATATATATATGTATATATGTATATATATAAGTATATATACACATATATATATATATATATATATATATATATATATATATATATATATATATATATATATATATATATATATATATATATATATATATATGTATATATATAAGTATATATATATATATATATATATATATATATATATATATATATATTTTATATATATATATATATATATATATATATATATATATATATATATATATATATATATATATATATATATATATATATATATATATATATATATATATATATATATATATATATATATATATATATATATATATATATATATATATATATATATATATATATATATATATATATATATATATATATATGATTCTATAAATAAAAGCCTAGATATGGCTTTCATGCAAAAGTTTTAACCAGTGAAAGTAGGTCTTCAACTTGGGAGTAGTTGAGGTAATAATTATCATCTGATGTTTCATTGGTCTCAAAAAACTCGCTTTATCAAGCTAAATCGGCATATGTTGAGACGATGATAACTGTTATCTAAATGCTTATTTAGTCGCAAGAAAAACTCGCTTTATCAACCTAGAATGGCGTGCCTGCATATGCTTCCATCTTGAACCGAGAATCAACTTGGGCGTAGGGAAGATGAAAACTTGAACGGAGGAATTATATCGTCCAGTGAATCTTTTCTCCCTCTCTGGAGCGAGCCTCTGGGTTCACTGACCTTCACGTGCATCAGGAGGGAGAACAGGAGTTTTCTGCATGTTTTACTATTCCTTTGGAGAAACGATGTAAGAAGCTTCTATTCAAATTGAATCCCTTCCGTAATATAGATGAGAAAGTGTGCCTAAAGGGTATGGTTTTATGGGAGGTCTCCACGTGAAGAAAGTGTTGGAGGGTCAATGACCGCTTCACTAATGGTTGTAGCTAGGCTGATATGAATATTTGCAGTGTTTCATCATAAATTCCCTAATTCAACTAACTTGTGTGCTCTCTTTCACCTCCTTCCTTTAACTGATATTGCTTATTTATTTATGTTCCACGTGAGTCATTTTTTTTTTGAATTCTGGAAACGGTCCCATACTCCGCGTTCTGTAACTTTCTTCTTGCATACCCCTCTGTTGTTCTGAATTTGCCTGGGCACTTTCATATGTTAATGGAACCTGGTGCACGTGTTGAGGGAGCTGAGGCGAGTTCAATGACCTCGCCATAGATGTGAGAAAAAGTGTCATTTTCCCCATCATCTACATCACCGTGAGGCTGTAAAAAGATGACCTGGGCAAAGGCAGATTCTCCAAGCATTGATTAAGTGGAATCAGGGTTCAATGACCATCAGCGCACGTTGAGGGGTGAGTAACTTCTCTGTCCTCGCCTGCCCAACCTCTTGAGAGGAAGATAGTAGTGCATGCAAGATGAGGAAAATGAAGGGGGGAGAGGGGTATTGAGGAAGGGGGGGTATTTAGAGCTCTGTTTACTTTTTGCTGGACGCTGTGCCAAGAGGTCAACGTCCTCTCTGTAGCCTTCACCGGACTTGATACCCACCTCACTGTTTACTCACTTGCTTACCTACAACCTTTTATACTATAAATGAAAGTTGAAAACATTCATGGTTCTTTTACATGGTAGTACGAGGAGATCAACTTTCGTAATATGTTGTCCTTATTTGAGGTTCGACTCTCTAGTTCTCTATCGCCAGCGTAAGGTCTATAAATAGAGCAAGTAAACTTCTTCCAGGTTTTTGTACAATTTAGCAGTGTTCGGGGTCATTGGACTTGATGACGTTATGAGATGCATATTGCCTGTGTGGAACCGTGATTATATTCTGCTCCAGCGATACTCTATAATCTGTTCTGAAGATATTCTGAATGCATGTTTGCCGTCACTTTGAATACAGAGATAGTTTGTGTACAAAATACTTAATGCTAAGAGTTTTTTTTAAATCCAGAAACAAGATGACTTTTATTTTTATAATCAAACAATCCTAACTTGACAATTTTAATTGCACTTTAGCAATATACATTTTTGCAGTGGTGCCATACTTTTCTTTTGGACTGTAAACTGCCTCCTGACACACCCACTTATTTAAATATGTGTTGTTGCATCTATTTTACCACAAAATGAAACTCTTACATTAATATTTAACTAATAGCTAAGTGCAACTTTCAAGAAGCATATAGGCAGTTTTTTGTCTAGTATTTTTTCCTTAACTTATTTCTTAGTATCTTAGATACGGCATACATCCGGTTGCTTTTCAGAGTAGCAATCTATGAAGAAGTACTTGATAGGAAGAGGTAAATTTATTTACCCAAAACAAATGACTTTTTTTTAATATACATTCGCCCCAATCCCCCTTGTAAGGTGGTGGCCGAGCCAAAGAACACACAATCCTCACAAACCAAAGCATTCCTCAATCACTCCTTTCTATTCCTTGGGGATAAAAGAACGCCACAGTGTCCTCCCACCATCTTTTATGGGCCTTTCCAAGGTAGGGGGCCAAGAATCTTCTGCCGAGAGACCCGATAGCCGCAGCTGAATGCAGAAGTAGCATCAAAAACAATTGAATGGGAATATAATAAAGCAAAAGTATTTGGGTATTGGAGCACTGTATATGAAAAATCGGTGAATGTTGGCTTTTATGAAATAAATTGAAAAAAAATATGTATAAATGTGAAATAGTAAGTGGTTGCGATGTTGCCAAAAAAGTGGTAGAACGCAATTTATGATATAAAGGGATTTTTTTTTTTTGGTGAGGAGGGTACATATTATCCGGTTTTAAGTCAAGGTTCCTTTTCAAATAAGGGCTAGGACGGTGGCTTCTTCCCAAGGACATTGGTTTTGGCAAGAGTGACTGTTACCCAGAGTGAATGCTCTTCCTAACCCAGGACCATGGTGGGTATCGAACCAACGACCTGACGAATCAGAGTCTGGTGTACTACCACCCGGCCACAGTGGCCGCAATATTTGCACTTTGATTTATCAGATTTTAAATGTGTGCGCGCGAGCACATTCTTCATTTTTTTCTTATTATTATTTTCACCCTTCTGTGTGAGGTATTACCTTACTGAGGCCATTTCTAATGATCACTACGCTTTAATACCAACGCTACAAAGGGACCTGTATAGCTATGCACACATACACACG